CAAAATCTGATCAGTGATTTAAAAAGCGTTAGGCGCCAAAAGACGCCAAGGTCCCAAAATACCTGAGACGCTAGGCGCTCGTCCAGGTGCTCGCCCGAGTGAAGCGCGATGCTCTAAAATATTAAAATATATATATATAAATATTTTAAAATATTAAAATATATTTTAATATTTTAAAATATTCTCTATTGTTAACAGTAGAGTGTGAGGAGACCGAGGTGAGAAGCTGAGTCACGGTGAGAACTCAATCGTGGACAGGAGGCTATTGTTTGAGAGCAACAACAGCAGGTGGCAGCGACAACGACAGCGATAGTGACATCGGGCAGTAGCAGAGAGCGGCAGTAGCAACGGGCGACAGCAGAGAGAGGTAGCAACTGTGGCAACGATAACAGAGAGTAGCGGCAGCGACAGCGACAGTGGCAGCAGAGAGCAGCGGCAGCGATAGGCAGAGGCAACAGCAGCGACAGCAGAGAGGAAATGTCGGTGGCGGAATCGCGAGTAATGTTGGGGTTAGGGGAAGTCCCGAGGAGGAGGCTTCAAACCATCTAACGCAAATACGACCAAACCAGACTTGAAAAGGTGGTTCAGTCGCTTGGTTTAAACCGGACGCTCACCCGAAGCACCCGACGCCTGGGCTCGGGCGAGCGCCCAAGCGACGCCTCTTTGAAGCGCGCCGCTTGGACATTAAATGAGGCGCTCGAGCCTCGCCTCGCTCGAGCGCCTTTTGAAATCACTGAATCTAATAAGCTCTTAGATCAACAATGTCAAAATAACATTAGATTACCTATACAATCTCTCGTGTGGTCAGAAAAATACATTTGTATGTTATTTCTCTTCAAAATAACATACAAATGATTTTATCCTTAAATTTTATAAATATAAGATTCTATAAACATTATGTACATCTATGTGCGTGGGTGGGTGGTGGGAGGGTGTCTATATTGCTATTACCATGATCAGTCAAGTGAGCTTTTTCCCGGATGCTTGGAAAAAAACTCATGTACAATGCATCTTTGTTCAGAAGGCTGATAATACATGCAGGACAAGTCACAAGCTCTTCTAGCACAAGAATAGTAATGACCATATCTGACGAAAAGAAAAGATGAATGACAAAGAATCAGTTAACATAACTAACAAGATTGTATCCCAATTCACACTGGCCTAAAGATGCCTCCATTTGCAAAAATCAAGGGACTTCCAAGGCCTAAAGTATTCTTGGAAGGGTGCAAGCTGCACTTGCAATGAACAATTCCACAGAATTTCAAATCTTATATTCAGGATATCCAAGTTCATTGTCAAAATCACGCATAACACCTTTCCATTGTCACCTTGTATTAAGACAATTTAGCATATATTTTATAGTTCAGTTGCAGCTTCTCCGCAACTCAATATGGCTTTTGATTTAGGAGGGTGATCCTGAGCAGCAAAAGACAATGTGCATGATTATACAATAAAACGTATAAATGTAAATTCATATGAGTTGCCCAAAACCATAAGCCAACTGCTGAACATATATTGAGTTCAATCACAAAAAAGTAGGCATTCAATCAAGCACTTGCCTTGAGGAGGTGCATTGCAAGGTTGAGTTTTTAAGTGATAATTTGTATGTGCACTCTCTAGATAGCTGAGGAGATGTTACTTTAACATCTGTCCATGCCTGAAACAAGTATAGATCAGTGAAATAAGCCCAACAAGTTGTACATAATATTAAAATACATGAATAGTTTGATCAGAAATCAATAAGATTTATTTCACAGCTTAATACAGCATGAAAGAAGGATATATTTGTTTCTTTTCAATTAAGGCATCAAATATTTTTTTTTAAAAAAAAGGAAGATCAAACCACAAAGGTATGCACGGTTACATGAAATATTCATGCACAGAGACTAAAAACCACCAATCCCGATACCTAAGCAAGAAAGTAACTTTGTGCTTAATCATTTTGGCACTTTATCAAATCACTTCTTAACATAAATCATCTCAGAGTGGACTTAATAATCATGTACAAACTCAAGCAGGAAAAAGTTGCACATGGAAAAGGTCAGAGGTATATCAATTATCAAATCATGGAGTCACCACAATGCTGAGTTGTGAGCCTTCCTAGCAGCCTACTATGAAATGATTCTTAGCTATGTGATGGGGTACAAGATGAGAACTTTAAGGGTCCGTTTGGAAACACATTCGTATTTTTAATAGGCATTTGGAGAAAGAGATTTGAGTGAATATGCAATTATGGAATACCTTAAGTATCTGGTAAACAATTGATGAAGACTGCATTTTAAATGTGCATTAACGTAAGTATTTTTTGGTAAAATTATATTCTAAAAATCCATTAAATATTACGTGACAAATTTATCCTTCTAACATTTTTCATATTTATTCAAAAGTGAATACATATTTTTTTTTAAAATTAAAAAGTAAATAAATAAATAAATAAATAAATGTATGTAATCTTACAAAAAAAAATTGTACTGCTTAGATATATTATAAATAAAATATATAATCATGTAAATGAATGTAAAATAACCTTTCAAAATAAATAAATAGAATTCTACCTTATAGAAGACATGTGAGAGGAGTCGGCAACAACAGAAATCGATAGAAGGGGAGAGGAAATGAGGGTTAGGAATTTTATAATATAGTGGTAATCTTATTATTTTAAAGAATGTTATATGATACATTGGAAAATTAAAAAAAATTCATTAGCATCCCTCAAATGCTCTATGCTAATACTACCTTCAGGTAGCATCAGCATTTGAGCATTTACATTGCAGCATTTAGGTCCACTGTGACTTAAAAACAAAAATTTATCAAACACCAAGTCACACTTGAAATATGTATTGGGTTCTCAATACACATTTCAAATGTGTTCCAAAACACACTCTAAGCCTTTAGATAGAAAAAGTATGACATCCCCCATTAATCTTTTACCAAAATTGGGAGATGTTGTGATGGCTTATAGGACTAAATGGAACTTGCCAATATTAACTTGGGCTTCAATTTTATTGGGTTTTATGTTATTAGGCCACCAAGTCGTTGGATCAGTAATCATATCAAGTGGGATCATAATAAGAAAAATTAATCTAGAATATCTAAGTTATTGAGATTGTGTCATATCGTTCTTTACATAAATGACAAAGAGTCTAAGATGGTATGTGCATGTTCAAAGGAAACTTATAGATGTGGTGAAATAATCTGGATCAATATTAGTGATATAAGAAGAGAAAGAAGAAAAACTAAGAAGGCTGCTAGGAACAATAAAAAGAAAATGCTGAATAAAAGCATATCCACATGAGAATGATAGCTGCCTAGTTAAGACTTTGACTGTTTGATAGCAAAGTACAAGGGTCGAATCCCATCATCACCACTTGCCATTTGCAGAAAAATAAAAAAAAGAAAAACATTCATGTAGCTAACCCGAATAGTTGGGACATTATGCTTGTTGTTGTTATGTTGTATCATCTGGCTCTTTACATTTGTGATAATTTTTCTCCACATATACAAAGGGGAAGGTAAATTTTCTATCTTAAATCTGCACAGCTAGGACTAGGGAATTTTAACAGTCTTATGTGCCAACATGAAAAATCTACTTGACCATTAAAATTAATTATTCCATTTTTATTTATGATAAATATGTTTCAATAATCACCAATTGAAACGAGAGGATCACCTCGGGGAGCGAAAAAGCACAATTGCAAATAAATTTTCATCCAAACTTCACCCCAGACATGTTAGGAGCTCGGAATTAGTCTATCTGTCGGGCCTTAGACAAAACCAAAGGGCTGCTGAACAAATATAAACCCTTCCAGAACATGTTTCAATCTGGCCCTGACGCAGGTATGCATCATCTTCATCATGGAAATGACATTATTTTCAGAGGCCTCTGGCTTTGGGCACTCCTCGCTTTGCATTTACCCTATTTCATTACGCCCACAAGAAGCTAACAGAAACAACAAATCCAAAAGATTGTCGTCACAACAACCATTGGGTTATCTTTTTTGCAGTTTGATTAATATAAGAAAGCTCCTGCGATGGTTCGAGCAAATAGGTTACTCCTCGCTGATCGAGATTCTATTTTTCCGTTGTTCCAAAATCTCGAATCTTTTCGTTCGCATAAGAAACGTCATAGAAGGTTTAAAGGAAAAGAAATCACTGACCCACGCCCAGCTCTCGGGCTTGATCTCATTGTAGAGAGGCCTGACGATCGCATAGAAGCGGGCCGTGGTGCTGAGAACGAGCCCCGCGTTGGGTCTCTCCAGAATCAGGTATCCACCGGTGATCAGAACCTTTCCGGGGGCCGAAACAACTCTATCCAAACAAGAAAAGAGGAGTCTGAGACCCGACCGACATGAGGGGAAGAAACCCCAAAACTGCGTCGCATCAAGAAACCCTTTCTCGGAATAGAAGGGCAACGTTTCGAAGCAAATCGAAGCAAACGGATCGTGACGGGGGAACTCACACTTCCATCGTCGCTCTTCTCGAGTCGCACCCACCGCCAAGCCAGAAGTGAGACCAATGCCGTGAGAAGGAACGGGAACACCAGCGATTTTATTCACCGGAGACAGAGAGAGCACCTCAGACACGGCTTTGCGCAGGACCGGTGCGCAGCGAGAGATGCACTCCTCTGGCCCTCGTCCCCGTACATGTGCTTTGGACGCCGCATCCGCCAGTCGTGAGGGGTTCGTTGTGTCACTCACGAGACTGGACCCGACCCGGTCTAGATTGGGTCCGACCGGAATAGATAGATAGATTCGGGTGGGTCAGATGAGCCGGTCACGTGTTGATGACGTATGTCGACGACACATGCCAACCACGTGATCCGTAAATGAGTTAAAATCATATGACTGAGAGATAATTTCAAGGTTTTATAAAATCAATATCCAACAGTTTGAGTCGAAAATGTTAAATCAGTCAAATCATAGACTCTTTCCCCAACAAAATGGCAAACATGATTTGTAGTAGAAAGAAACACTGCTACAATAAATATTAGTCCTCCCGAGACATAATAGAGCCATACAGAATAAAAAGTATCGAATATAGAGGACGGACAAAAGGAGCTACGTTCGATTAAAGAACAAAGTCAGTTCTTCATAAAATACTACAGCCTATTACAAGCCTTCACATTGAAAGGAAGTAACAACATGAAACAAGGCTCCATCTAAACCATACCATAAGCAAGTCGGTGCTTCGCAATAACCTAAGCAGCAAACACCATCGAGTAATCGACAGAGGGGAGAGGAGGATCTTATGATCAGTACGTGCCCAAGCGTGTTCTTGTTCATCCCCTATCATTTGTGTCAGTGATCGAGACACCGAACAATCTCAACCTCTTCTTCCTCTTTTCCTGCTCCTCTTCCTCCTGCTGTCGTGCTTCCGATGATTTCTGAGTCACCGCTAACCCTGATACTACCTCTCCTACCTCATCTTCCTCCTTCGTCTTCCTCTTAAAACTAAGTCCCAGTCCCATCGCACCACTCCTGCTCCCGCTGAAGCCACTGCTGCGATCGCCTTCCTCGTCTCCTTCTACCGTCTTCCTCTTCAGACCGAGTCCCAGTCCCATTGCCCCATTCCCGCTCCTCCCGCTATAGCCGCTGCTGCGATCGCCTTCCTCGTCTCCTTCTTCCGTCTTCCTCTTACAACCGAGTCCCAGTCCCACCGTCCCGTTCTTGCTCCAACTAAAACCGCTAGTGCGATTGCCTTCCTCGTCTCCCTCTTCCGGCTTCCTCTTACAGCTGAGTCCCAGTCCCACCGCCCCGTTCTTGCTCCAACTAAAACCACTAGTGCGATGACCGTCGCCACTGCACCGAATGATGTCGATCAAGCAGTACGTTCTCCGGAGTCCATCCCTCTCCTCACACCTATAGAATGCCACCGTGTCCTTGGCCTGAAGTCTCTTCTCCTTCACAAACTTATTCCAGCCCTTGGTGAAGACGTAACTCTGGCTGCTCTTCCAGTAACAGTATCGGAATGTCCACGAGCGGTCTTCTCGGTCCACGAACTCGACCATCACCTCATCGGCCGTCACCGAAGCCACCTGTGGAAAGTACTTGGTCGCGTGCTTCTTCGGTATGACCAGCCTGTTGAGCTTCCCGACGTCGCTTGGCGTCAGTTCCTTGAGGAACATCTCCAGGAAAGCCACATTGCCGCTTGTGCCAGCGTGAGGGAGGCTCGGCCTCGGCGCCGCCTTGACAGCGGCTGCTGCAATGGCGTGTCGCCTAACGTACTCCTCCATCCGTGACTCGTACGATCCCATCTTGATCATGTCAAGCACCTCGTCGGTGGTGAACGTCTCCTGGAACTTGTGCTCGTGGGCGGTGAGCGGGGTCGCGGGGAGGTTGCGGTGCGAGTCGCCATGGTGGAGCTTGATAGCCGCGCTGTCGTAAGCAGCTGCCGCCGCCTGCTCCGACTTGAAGGTGCCGAGCCAGATGCGGTGACCGTGAGCGTAGATCTGCGCGCCCCAGTGTCCGTTCTGTTGCAGCATGACGCCTTTGTATCGGGTGGAGGTGTTGGAGGTGGTCGCCATGCAGGGGGCGAAGCTAACCCAATTAACGATGCTGTTAGAATCGGATCCTTCGCGTCCCGCTGCCATGGTGGTTGCCACTGAGATCATGCTGCCGGCGTCCTCTTCCCTAGAAGGAATGCGGAAGACGGATCCGGTTGAGCAGCAGGCGGTGTAATTTCTCAAGTGTTCTGGCTTGTCGAGGGGGCACCTACGGAGATGAGGTATTCATTCATGCGAGAAGAAACATAAGCAAGGGGTGCAGAGATGGGTCGAGCATACAAGAAAAGGACGTCGATCTGGGACAAAGAGCTCACCTTAATGATTCGTCCATCTCCGTTTCAGATAAATACATAGAAGGAGAGCAAGTTCTTCAAATCTCCAAGACATTAAGGAACAAACCATGCACTTCAGTTCATGGGGTCCATAAAAGAAGCTTTAGCATTAAGATACGCACATGTACCATAATAACAAAAGAAGGAGATGTGGGGGACGCCTCCGAGGAGAATGGTGCTCGGTGGGAATTAATCCATGGAGAAAAATATGGAAGACAAGTCGAAGGAGAAGGAGAAGGAGAAGCAGAAGAGAGTTGATTGCGGAGATGGGATATGAGGATGCGAGATGGGTATGGGTATATGAAGGGAAGATGGAAAGAAGGAAACGGGAGGAGCCTTAAATGGACAGTAAACAAGCTTCGCCATAAAGAAGGGGAAGGGAAGGGGGGACATAAAAAAGCAAGAGATATTTGATAGAGGAGATGGGAAAGGTTGGAAGGAGGGCTAATTTAGGAAGGATGATGCCAACGGAGTCCTTAAAATTAGACAATCAAGGGGAGTTGATTGGAAAGAGGTGGCTTGTCAGGGATATCTCCCCCCCCCCTCTCTCCCTCCCTCCCTTGGATTCCGCAACCTAAAACAAACAAAACAAATTAAATTTTCCGGTGGCAGCAGCCAGCAGCTCTGAGATGTGAGCGAGGTGTCCCTCCACCCAAACTGAAGTTCACCTACCTCTTTCTTCTGTCCATCACGTAAAAAACATCGCTCGATCCTATTTCTCCCAAACCAAGAGCTGTTTTTTAGATTCCGAGCATCACAAAAATATTCTTGTGCCGACCCACCCCGATTGGTTTGTTTGACGACGACGACAGGTTCCCCATCGAATGCGCGCGCGGCAAAAACCACCGTTTGCAGAAATGCTGCTGCCGCTCGAGTCGACGTTAGTCCGCAAGTCCATTTCTCAACAGCCCAAAAACCAAACGAGAACTCGCTCACATCTCTTCTTTTAGCTCCGACATTGCGGTGAAGCAAGGAGTCGGTTCGCGGGAACAACATACTGCCCTTCATCGTCGGAACACGCGCGTGGAGACGGATGAGGTGGGTCCCAGCTCTTCACGTCAGGGAGGCCGCCCTCCAGCCTTCGCACGAGGGACCCAAACGCTGGACGCACACGGGACTTTTGATGGGCGGAGACGTGTGGCGGTCGTGCGCCGCCGAACGGAGGCGGATAAGCTCGAGCCGCACTGATTTTGCGTTTCCGTCTTCGAACGGAGGCACATGAGCGCTGGGGATTGGATTGGATTGAATACTGGTTCGTTGTCTTCTTCCTTGATGTCCTTGGGTGGAAGGTAACCATCGTTTGGTATGTCTTGAATTGGAGACTCCCGATAACAGTTCTTTGTCTGCTTTTTTTTTTGTCCTACGGCTGTGAATATTTTGATAATTTGATATCCAATATCAAGATTTAGCTTACGTATATTATATTATTTACATAAAGCTTATCGTTTCTTTTTCCTCGACTAGAGAAGAGAAGAGAGAGAGAGAGAAAGAGCGAGAGAGATACTGTGGGAACATATGTGATTGCTTGACCGACGGAAGCCCCGCGTGGTCGACAAGTAGGCGTATATTTATAATATTGTCTGGTCTTCGGAGCAGTAGTTCACATTGCAAGTTTCAATAATTATCTTTTTCCTTTATTGTGGGACCTTTAACCGCTCATTAATGGAAAGCAAATTTAACCTCTACCCAAATCTATCTCCGATTTCTTTGGTACACTCGCTGCGTGGGCCACACTCACCGGCAAGCCAAGTCCGCTTAAGCCACGTAGTTAAAGAGGACTTGCAACAATCGATCACCTCCACCCCCAAATCGATTTGTGGCCCTGTGTAGTCTTTGATCCAACTTACCAAACCATTCGCTCCTGTTTCCTTTCCCGTGGGTCAACCCTTACGCACAGGCTCGCCACATGTCCGTTTCTGGAGCGGTTAGTACCTCAGTCGACACCAATGCGCCCTGGATCGATCCCCTCGTCCCTCAAAATATCGAATCTGATCAACGGTTCACGTTCGATCACAGTCGATTCGACGTTTAAACTTGGTGGTCGTCCGTCGGATCGAGGTATGTCGGTGACTCTTCGTCATCTTCGTTTTTCGCAAGAAAGCGGGGCGGACCGCCGACTGTCCTCCGCTATTTGTAGTCCGCCTCTGCCCCGGCGTGACGCCCTTGTTGCTTGCTCTTCGTTTCTCGCTCTCCCAAATCTAGGGGTCCAAAAACCGCCGCCCCCGAACACGGAGATCGGATGAGAGAGACAGAGGCCTTCGATCGGAGACGCATCACCTAATTGACAACCTTTACCTCTTTAGGTATCGATCCTCTGCATCTCGCCTCTAGACCTCCGTTCCCGAGGTTTGGCCCCTGTTTTTCGTCGGATTCAGCTTTGATTTTGATGTGTCTCGAATCCGATCGGCGTTTTATTTGACTTGATTCCTCGATTTGTTCATAGTTATGCGTGTTTTCGGTTGATCCGGGTTCTTTTATGTGTTGAATTGGTTTTGGGTATGGGTTATGGTTCTTATTTTACTCGGTATGCCGTTCTCGAAGAGAAGCCGTAGTCTTTATCGAGGATCGTGTTGGAATCGAGCGATCTGATAATGTTTGATGGTATCTTTTCCATAATCATGACGCATGTTGAACGAGAGGGTCAATTTTCTTGTGAACTTCACGTGGTTCATCATTGATTACCTGCTGCTCTGAGATTGCCTGAAATTTGTATTGCGTTTTCGTGTTTGTTGTTGTTCGGTCGATGTTGCTGGTGCTGCTGGAGTTTGTTCCACGTCTAATTTTTGCTATCCATCCGTGGAAAACGATTAACGATTTCAGTTAACTTTGCTTTTCTTTTTAAAAAAATATTTGCTGCTTGATTTTCTGCAGAAAAAACTTAAACCCTTAGTAACGTATGGTTTATTTGTGTTTGAAGTTGGAATTTTTTATCTACCAAAAAAAAAAACTTTGCATGTTTTTTCGGTATTTTATATTTGTTGTAAACGATATTCAGCTAATTATTGTTATCTTGAGGCATCTGCTTGCGTGCACGAATTTTAGATGCTTGACAGGTTGTTCGTGTTGTGTATCGGATTGCCTCTTACGATGCTTCTTTGATGGTCTTTTATCCCGACAATTGTAGCAATGATTTAGTGGTTGGTGTATAATATTTGGTACAAAAAGAATATAACAGATCCATTTGCTTGTGACTGTTAAGATTGCAAAGTATAATCAAGGATTTGTTGGAGTGATTTTTGTTCTCAACAAATATCTCTGGATTTAAGAACTGCAGCAAGCCAAAGTATTTTAATGTATGCAGCAGCCTGACATGGATCGGCACCAACGGGAATTTTGAAGCCACCCTTTTTAAAGTTAAATGTGGAATATTCAACTTTACACCATTGTTCGTTAATGATTGCAAGATGTTCAGGATGTTTTGGAGATCAGTTATGGAGGATACAGGGCAGCAATGAAAGAGAGTATACAGATCTTTCAGCTTGACCTCTGTTTGTCTTCTTTCAGACTGATCTCTATCTTTACTGGTTCTCTTGATTTATTGGTGCAAATTCTGAGGTGTCTAATTTTGTTGCCTAGATTCTAGCTAGACAGACAAACCAAAAGCTGCTCCTTGTTGCTTGCCATGCCAACAATCAGATTGACATGGCCTCTGGTTGGTTGCAATTTTTCTCAGTGGTTATCCTACCTGTAGTTAACCCTTTTGGCTCTGGGAATGTTGGTTCATACTGGCACCAGAATGCTTTTTTACCAATGGAAGAAGTCAAAAGCTTTCATTGTGCTTAGCTTATATCTTTTCAACAGTGAGTATTTATCTAGATTGTACTGGCTTTGTTCTTAACCGTATAATAGGTCTTCTCTTTGCTTTTGTTGGATACCAGACAAACCAGGTCAGCTTCCTGGATGACTTGAGACTTGTAACCAATTCTATTTAAATCGTCTCAGTAACATAATACACCTTTCAAGAGTTCATATGTTGTTTTCACCCTAAGCGAGTTAAATACTTGCATGGAAGAAGCTTTTCATTTGGAGATCTTGTTGTTCTGCCAAATCCTATCTAGGAAAAAAAATCTCAAGATAAACTTAAAGAAGGCTCAGTGTAACCTTGCAAGTGTTCAAAACTATAAATCACCACATTAACGAAGTAAATTTTATTGATGGAAATGCAACATGGTAACAAAAATCACTCCTGTTAGTTAATTCTTTAAACATTTTATTTTGTCATGTGAATGCTGCTTTGTGTTCCTGTCAAAGTTTTCTTGCTGTGGTTGTTGTAGGGCCGGGTACTAATTTGTTTCAGTTGTGTTTCTTGATGTTATCCACCATCTTTTTGAATTTACCTTATTCAATGAAAACATTTGGCATGTCTCCTTCCTCTCCTTGATAATTTTTTTTTATAAATACCAATTGTGGAATTTTTTGAATTTATGTTTGGGATGCTTGCAGAATTAAATTTCAAGTTTTTCATGATCTCCTGGTCTACAAATGAATTTTAAATAGATGCATAGGCCTAACGACTCTCATATGGTATAAAGTTACGCTATCACGAAAATCATGGAAATTGACCACTTGTCTGAGCTATAGATATAGCTTCTCAGGGGATTGGATTCTTATCGTATAAACTTGGGGGTTTTGTGGTCCATTTTATATAGTGAGTAATGTTTCGTTTTTTCTTTGTCGCGCTCTAATCTAGGTTAAATGTTTATTCTCTAATATGACCTATTTACATAAGGTCTTTTTTTTTTTCATGTGCAGGGTGGTGTCATAACTGTTCCTTTTCTTTTATTTTTCTTGCTTTGCTTGGTCTAGTTTGGTTTTTGCTACTGGGATGTAACAATTCTTTTGATACTTTTGATGAAGCTTTTAGTATCTTTCCAGATTTGTTTTCATTTTATAATAAGAATTATAGTAAGAAACTCAGTAGGAGCATCTTAAATATTGTGTATACTGTATCAGGGTATCCTTGATCGCAGACTTCCCTGACATGAATTTTTCTGGCTATTCTACCATGAGTATTTGTAAATACTGTAAGTTAGTAGGCATGCTTCGTGGAGACAAGTAAATCAGAGAGAATTAGTCAGTGGTTTGCAGTTATCATCGTGAGTAAAAATGGAACAGATGAACGTAAAGGCATTGGATAAAGGTGAAAAACATGATCTCAAGAGGAAAAGAGATCCTGCCTTATACTTCACTGATGTTGGCCAAGGCCTGGTAGGATGTAGTGATCATCTTATTCCCGGCCAATCCTCTCGAAGGGTTTCCATCACAAAAGGCTGTAAAACTAACTTAGGCTGCCATCCAGAGACTCATATTCTCAAGAATTATTACAACTTCACAAAAAGTGGGTTGCCAAAACGTGTGCTGGCATATGAGAATGGTGAATGGAAAGATTTTCCTGAGAATATTGTGAGTTTGGTTCAGGAAGATTTTCGGTCAAAGAAAGCGATTACTGAGGCAGGTTTTCGAAATCAGCAATTGTTGTTAGACTACATTTACATGATTTGTATAGTCTTGGAAACAGGTTTGGTGAAGCCAATAGCTTGGATTGATGATCATGGAAAATGCTTCTTTCCAGAATTACGTCCTGAATGTTATGTATTGCATAGATACCATCACTCTGACAATGATATTCAGGTCTACATGAATCCTGATGCAAATAGGAAACATGAAACAAATGACCATTTTGAGATTTCCATTAGTGCAGCTGAAAGCTCAAGTTCACGACCTGATGATGAGGCTATGTCTAATGTCAAGAGGGTCAAGAGTGAAAAGAATTCTGCTAGTGATTGTAATATTTATGTTGAAGTCAATGAAGCAGTTGGAGAAAATGAGTCAGGTTCTGCATTACCTTCAAATGTCCGTGCTTCTAGAATTTGTCAAGCACCTGCAAGTGGTTGCCAAGTTAATAGAGCTGTGCAGGAAATGTTACTTCAAGGGTTGGGCAAACTCATTGATGCAAAAGACATTCTTGGAATCCTTAGGACCCCATTGAGAAATGATTTAGGTCAAGTTCGTTTTAACCTTTTCCAAGAGCAGGTCGAAATTGCTAAAAAGGTGCGTGGCAATGCAAATGTCCGTTACGCATGGCTTGCTTCATCAAAGGATGCAGTGGAAGGGATGATGTTGCATGGGACTCTGACAAGACCTGAGCAGAAATGCCTTTATGGCAATGGCATTCATCTCGCCCCTGCAAATTGTTCTAAAATCTGGTGAGGCCTGCTTTTGATACTAGGTTTTTCATGTTTGTGCATATTGGAGTACTTTAATCTCTTTTTGGCGAAGGCTGCCAACAGTTTTCTATCTGAATTAGTGGCTCCTGCCAGTTATTTTTTTGCTTCTTTTTTTTTTTAAGCTAACAGTCCA